TTTTGAACTTGATGCGATAGAACAACCTAGACAGGCCCTTCGGCAAGTTGCATTTTCGCTCGACCTTCCGTCTGTAAGATTTCTCCTGGGTCAGGAGTTCTGCCGTGGGCCTTTCACTTCCCCCTCGCGCCAGTGTGCCTCCGTGTCCGTGTGCTTCCTCTGACCGCTCGACGCCAGGGTTGTTTCCAGACTTTCGCAACAGAAATGTCCTCTCTGCGCACATTCTCCTGGGAGCTTTCAGGACGTGTTGCAAGCTTCTTTAGGGTCATACTTAGGGGCAGAATTCGCAGGGAAAACGACGGGCGTCTTCAACATCATTGCATAAGGCTGGAAATCTCTTCAAACCCATCAGCCCAATGTACACCCCTCCCACCCAGCCTAGAGTTCTCCATGGTTCACTCTGGGCCACCCACGATGTGGAAGCGTTTTCGTTTTTTTGTTGTTCTTGCCAATGTGGTGTGTGTGTAAAATGTTTTGTGCCTGGGTGGAGGGTGTTAAAATATATAGAACTGGGATCAGCACTGTGGCACAGTGGGTTAAAGTCCCAGCTTGCAGTGCCGGCATCCCAGATGGGTGCCAGTTCTAATCCCGGCTGCTCCACTTCCAATCCAGCTCTCTCTCTGCTGTGGCCTGGGAAAGCAGTGGAAGACGGTGCAAGTCCCCTGCACCCATGTGGGAGACCCGGAAGAAGCTCCTGGCTCCTGGCTTTGGATCTGTACAGCTCCGGCCATTACAGCCATTTGGAGAGTGAACTAGCAGATGGAAGACCTCTCTCTCTCTCTCTTTCCCTCTGTATATAACTCTGTATTTCAAGTAAATAAAAATAAATCTTTAAAAAAAAAGAACCTCTGCCCTTTTATCCACTTTCAAGCATCCGGCCACATGGTGTTCATTGCACTCACGGTGTTGGGTCACCATCACCGTATCTATTTCCAAAACCTCTTCATCACCCTCGTTAGAAAGTCTGGGGCGTTAGGCAATAACTGCCTGCCCCCCCCTCCCCAGTGGCCTCTGGCCCACTTTCTGTCCCCAGGAATGTGACCGTATCTTTTAAAGCAGCTGAGCACTAACTTAGCATTTTTTTAAGGAATTGTACCATCCCCCCCCTTTTTTTTTTGCCTTTTTAATGTTTATTTATTTTTATCTGAAAGGCAAAGCATTTGGGGTGGGGGGCTTCCATCTGCTGATTCACTCCCCCAGTGCCCATCACCGCTAGAGCTAGGCCAGGGCTGGAGCCGGGAACTCCATCCGGGTCTCCCACATGAGTGGCAGGGACTCCCAGGGGGCGCGTTAGCAGGACGCTGGATGGGATGCAGAGCTGGGACTTGACCCCTAGTCTTCTGGTGTGGGACACGGGGGTCCCAAGCAGCTGGTTAACCTGCTGCTCCTCCATACCCAGCCCAGAGTCAGATTTTAATCTCAGTCCACAACACGTTTGTCCAATGTAAAACCTCCAAGTTCAGTTATAAAGCACACATCTACACAGGGCATAGAATCCTCACCTGGAACAGTGGAACCAGATCCGTGAGAAAACATTTCCCGGAACCACACAAGCCTCCTCCCACTCCTAAAATCCGGGTCCTTGGGGCTGGACTTGCGGCACCCCACACTGGGCACCGGTTCGAATCTAATACACCTGGGAAAGCAGCAGGGGATGGTCCAGTGCTGAGGCCCCTGCACCTGCATGGGAGACCCGGATGGAGCTCCTGGCTCCTGGCCTCAGCCCGGCCCAGCCCTGGCTGTTGTGGCCATTTGCGGAGTGAACCAGCAGATGGAAGATTCTTATTCTTTCTTTCTCTCTCTCTCTCTCCCCCTTGCCTCTTTATAATTCTGCTTTTCAAATAAATAAAAACACATATTTAAAAAATAATAAAAATTGAAAAAAAAAAAAGAACCAGGAGGTGAGCTGGGGCTGGGAGGCAGCTGGGGGCAGTTTTGACGATGGGTGGGCAAGTTCCCATCCCACCACGGTCCTGTTCTGAACATTTTATTTCTAATACTTGCAAGCTTGCCCCCCACTCTTTGGAGTGCATTATTTGCCTGAGATCTGGGAAGGTTCCCAGATAAAGTGCAGGAAGTCCCCTGAACTTGAATGGGGGGGGGGGACAATTGCACCTGCTGTCATCGACCTCTCTGGCAGCCTGAGCCACACCTGTCGCTCTGCCATTGGGGGGAATCAGAGCTGTCTCCCAGGCACACCCACTGTTGTGGAACTCCGAGTAGCATGTACACTCATCATCCTTGGAAATTACAGTCGTTACGAGCGCTGTCGTTGGAGCTTGCTATTTAAAGTGTTAATGGAGAAGCGTGCATATTACCACATCACGGATTTTAAAAAATATTTTGATTACTTTTTGATTATATTTAATATTTTGACTGAATCTCAGTGTAATTGGTTTCCTTTGCAAGTCTACGCACTGGATGCCATGCATTTTAAACATCGCGCTGAGGCCCAAGGGGTCTTGTGCATAAGACATTGGGATCCCCCTGGCCCGAGGGCCTGTAGGGGGAGGGGCAGGACCGCAACTCACTCCCCCCCCCCCCCCCCCCGGGCTGGCGTTGCTGGCCGGATGCATTTTTTTTTTTTTAAAGGCTTAGGGAGCATGGAATTCAAGACTAACTTTGCACCCAGGCCTGCAGTTTTCTTCTGCCCCGGAAGTGAATAACGCCCCCCAGAGGTCACTTCCGAGGGAACGCGCTGCCCACATTGCTGCGACCCCAGCCCTGCCCCACGCCGGTGGTCCCCTCTGGAGGGCCAGCTTTGGTGCGTGCCTCCCGCCGCCCACCCACCGCACACCCACCACACACCCCAGCACACGCACCTGGGTTCCCGCGCTGAGCAAGCCCGGCAGGTGCACACCCTTTGCCTGCTTGACGGGGCTGGGGGCTGCGAGGCGAGGAAAGCCCCCCCTCTGGGAGCCCAGGTCACTGTCAGGCTCACCATAGCAGTCCCATGGACGCGCCTTTGGGAACCGGGCCCTCCCAGAGAACATGGGCGGGGGCCGTGTCCGTGGGTCCCGCAAGCCGCAGGTTCGTCCGATCGTGGGTGGGAAATACCGCACGGAGCGGGACCCCCGCATCTGCACTGCGCATGCCCGGGCAATGGTCTGTGCCAGGTGCCGCAGATTGCCTCCAGGTGACTCAGATACACGGAACAGGCGCAGAGCTTCTGCGCAGAGACCCCCGCCTCCTACCCAAAGGCCTTGGCGGGCCTGGGATGACTTCGCTCCCGGCCTTGGAGCCCTCAAGTGGCCCCAGTGACCCTGCTGGGGCTCAGGCAGGGAGACCCCCAAGCCAAGTGCTGGCCTGGGGCGGGAGCTCCTTGGGCGAGATGTCTCATCCGATGCCTTGCTTTCCCCGGTAGCCCCGGGTGGAGCTGTGGGTGGGGCTGTCCCCAGGGGACCCTCAGGGCCAGCTGGCCACCCCTGTCCTCCCCACCTCCACCTTCAGCGGCTTTTCTCCTCCTTTGCTGCCTTGGCCCAGTCCCTGGCCCTTGTGGCCACACCCATCCCCCCTACTCTGGCCCCAGGATGGTCCCGTTTCTAACTGTGCCTGCTCCCTAATATTTTCCATTTAAAATTTATTTATTTACTTATTTGAAAGAGTTCAGAGAGAGAAAGGTGTTCCACCCACTGGTTCCCTCCCCAGATGGCTACAACAGCCAGGACTGGGCTGGGCTGAAGCCAGGAGCCGGGAGCTTCTTCCGGGCTCCCACCTGGCTGGCAGGGGCTCAAGCACTTGGGCCATCTTCCTCTGCCTTAGCAGGGAGCTGGGTCAGAAGCAGAACAGCCAGGAATCAGGCTCCTAAATGGGATGCCGGCATCGCAGGCCACAGCTTTACCTGCTATGCCACAACACTGCACCCTCTATCTTTATTTACTTGAAAGGCAGAGAGAGACAGAGATCGGGATCTTCCATCCGCTGGTTCACTCCCTCAAATGGCTGCAATGGCCGGGACCTGGAACTCTGGCTGGGTCTCCCACGGGGGCAGCAGGGGTCCAAGCACTTGGGCCATCTTCTGCCGCCTTCCCGGGCACATTAGCAACGAAGTGGAGCAGCTGGGACCGGAACCGGTGCTCTTATGGGATGCTGGCATTGCAAGAGGAGCCACAGCGCCAGACCCAATCCCTTCCCTTTCAAACCACACGGCTGCGTCTGACATTCAAGGCCCTTTCTTTCCACTTGGCTGGGCTTGTCCACCCTCGCGCTGCCCCCCACCCCCAACACCTCTACCGCCAGGGCTGCCTGCCCGCCTGGCCGGCCTCCCCACGGGCCGGGCCTGGCACACAGCAGGTATCTGAAAAGGCTGTAGAGGCGCGAATGAAACCGCTCGGGAGACAGCTGCCGCCATCTGTCCGGGCCGCCGGAACAGCCCCAGGGGCCACACTGCGCCTGCGCTTTCCGGAAGCACCGCTCTTGAGTGACAGGCACGAGGTGGCGGCCCCGCCCACAGAGCCCCCGTCCACTTGTTCTCCCTGAATTCACCTTAACCTGGGACACACAGCAGGAGCAGTGCCCGGCTGCAGGCGCCCTGCGCCATGGACGGAGACACTGCAGGCCTAGCGAGCAGGCGCTCGCTGGGCACTGGCTGTGAATCACCCCTGGGTGCTAATGCTCCCCTTCATGGACAAGGGACCGAGCAAACAGTCCTGGCAGGCTTAGCTGTCTGCTCATGCCTGGGCAGAGGGGCGCTGGGGGTCTGTGGCCCCCCAGGTTGGAGGCGGAGTTTGGGCAGGGGGAGGTGGGCTTGGGCTCAGCCAAGAAGGAGGTGGCTGGAATGCTGGGATAGCCCGCAGGGGGCGGCTCTCTGTGGGGGAGCCAGGGTCTCCCAGGTCACCTCTGAGAAACCCGAGCAGCTCCTGCGGCTCGGGGACTGCCCAATGTCCCAGGACGCCAAGGCAGAGAGAGCTCGTGGGGTCCCCTGTCCACACCGCCCGGCCCTCGCGCCCTGGGGCCGAGCCGGGTGGAGGGCAGCAGAAAGCATGAGACGGGAGAGCAGGTGCAGTCCCTAAAACAGGCTCTTTAATAATGGGCATGTCTTCACTGAAGAGCTTCGCTGTCCCACTCGGCGGCGGCCCCGGGGCCTCGGCGCTTAGTAGAACGAGTACTGGTTCTCGACGGCGCGCGCACGGCCCGGCGCGGGCTCCGCGGGCTCCTCGGCCGCGCCGCCCGCCGCCTCCAGCAGGCGCTCGGCGCTGTTGCTGCGGCTGCGCGCGCTGAGCGAGCCCTCGGCGGGGCGCGGGGGTGCGGGCGCAGACACGGCGGACGACGGGGAGGCGCCGCCGGGCGCGTCCGAGGGCGAGGTGGGCGGGCAGGCGGCCAGGCTGGAGAAGTAGTGCGGGCCGCCAGGCTCGGCCCAGCAGGAAGGCGGTGCGGGTGCAGGTGTGGGTGCGGGCGCGGCGCTGGGCGAGGGCCCCGGCTCTGCAATGGGAGGCCGCGGGGCGTCAGCGCCCAGACCCAGGCCCCCGGCAGGGCGCAGGCCCGAGGCCAGGGATCCTGGCCTCTGTGGCGCTGCCGCTCTGCCCCCAGCCCTGACAGTCCCCTTGGTCCGATGCGGGGATGCGGGGTTGACTTACCGGGTGCCGGGGGGCCCTGGGCCCGCACGTAGCTGCGCAAGGTAATGTCGGCGGAGCCCCCAGACTCCAGCGGGATAGGGTGGGTGTGGAAGTGCCGGAGCATGTCTAGCACGGACTGGAACCACAGGTGTTGCACGTGGCATTGGCCGTGGCCGTTCAGGGACAGGCGCAGGTGCTGCGGGCACAGGTAGGCGTGGTCAGTGGCTGGCCTCAGAACACAGGGCTCACTGCCCCACGTTAGAGGTGGGAAAAGTGAGGCTCATGGAGGGGGGAGTGACGTCCCCACAGCCCCAGAACACAGAGCTGGGACGAGAACCCATGTGTGAGGCCCCCAGCCCAGGAGGCCAGGCATCTGTCCCCCATCTCCGCAGAGCCACAGGAGCGGACAGCTCGCCGAGGTCGGCTGCAGTGGGGACATCTGGTTCCTGGCAGGGTGGCCCCTCCAGGGCCCATGTGAGACAGGCAGCTCAGGGCGTGAAGCCACGGGCCTCTGGTTCAGCCCTGTTCTGCTCCCCATGCACCCACAGCAGGAAAGAGCGGCTTTGCTTGGGGGAGGGGGCCCCTGGCAGGAGGGGAGGTCATAGCGGGGGGTCCCCAGCCCGGGGCGGGGAGCTGACCTAGCCAGCGGCAGGCCAGGGGCAGGGTCCTGGGGGTGCCCTCCGTTTCCTCGTGGGCCACACCGCCACCCCTCGCGGTCCTCTGCGCTGTAGCACACGGCTCCCTTCCCTGAGTCCTGTCTGGACCTGCGCTCCGGCTGTCCACACCTCAGCAGCGCTCCTGCACCCCTTCCTGCCCAGCCCGGCCCCTCCTCTCCTGCCCGGCTCTTCGGCCTGTGTGGGCCTCCCTTGTCTGAGCCCGCAGCAGGGGCCCAGGCGGGGTTGGTGGGCTGCCCTGGGCAGGGAGAGGGGCGGCTGAGCCAGATGATGGGACTTGGAGGGCCTGGGGGACCCCAGCCCTGCTTCCAGGTGGCACTGGGTGGGGCCCCTCAGAAGCCCCAGTGCAGTGGGCTCTCCAGCGCACAGTGGGCCAAAGGACTCAACAGCCTGGTTTCTCAGAGGAGCCGGCCCAGGGGAGCGCGGCCACGCCTATGCCCAGGACCAACTCCCGCCCCCAACACTTGCCTTGGCCTTGCCCTGGAAGTTGAAGGTGAGGACGTACTCCCCGGGCCGCGTCTCGCTTTGGCGGATCACGAAGAGGCCGTGGCTCCGGGGCCCGCCCGCCAGCACCAGCTGAGCGGCCTTCACCCGAGACAGCGTCCCGTGGAACCAGGGGTAGTCGGAGAGCTCCAGCTGGGGTTCGGCCTCGGGGTCTGCCTCTGCTCCCTCCTCCCCTGCTGGGGGATGCCCGTGTGAGCGCGCGGGGGGCGGGGCGTGGGGAGAGACAGGGACACGGGCACACATGAGCAAAGAGAAGTAAAATGCAAAGGCAAGGAGCTGACCCAACCCGCTGGTTAAGCATATAAATAAACTTTAAAACTGAGGCACAGGGAAGGAGCCTGGGGTCGCTCTGCCAGGCAGCAACCAACCTGGGACCAAACCGAGTCTCCCGTCCCCACTGAAGTTCAGCAGGAAGGGCCAGGGGCCCGGATGTCCGTGGCAAAGCCAGAGCTATGGACCCAGCGCGGGAAGAGGGGCATTGCAGGGAGCCTGGGGGCTGGGTGGGACCCAGGAGAGGAGGAGGGGCAGGGGTCCCCGGCTGCGCCCCCGCACCTGCGTTACCACTGTCACCGCCGCCGCCGCCAGGAGGCTCCAGGGTCTGCAGGAACGTCTCCAGTGGGACGTGGCCCAGGGACTCTGCCAAGCCATCTCGAGCTCGGCTGTGCGGTGCTGTCACCACGGCAGGTGCTGCTGTCTCTGGGGGCCGGGGCAGGTCCGCTGCTGGGGAAGTGCAGGTGAGAGGTGAGGCCCTGGAGCTGGACCCCTCCCCCACCCCGGCCTGACCCCACGCCCACCTACCGTCCGTCAGGAGCTCACAGCTGCAGGAGGCCACGCGGCTGGCCACACAGCCTCCCCGAGCGCAGGCCAGTTCTGTGTCTTCCTCGCTGTCCCTGCATGGGTCACAAGGCACAAGCTTGTCCTGCCATGGGACCCTGCGCTGCTTATGGAGCCAGGCGGCGGCCGGCCCTACCCTCTGCTCCCCTGGGGTCCGCCTCTGTCCCACCTTTGCCTGGCTCTGTGGCCACCGTGGCAGGGACCAGGCCAGGGGGACCAGAGCCGCTGAGGCTGCACGGCCCCTGCCTGCTAACTCAGGGGCTGGAGACCCTCAGGGGGTGGGAGGGCGTGGTGGTGGGCCCTGCCCAGGGCTTTGTCTCCCCATCTGGGGCGTGCGAGGCTACTTGGACAGCGGCCAGCTGCAGAATTCTGCAGAGTGAGGTCCCGGTTCCCAGGGGCCAGGCAGAGGGTGTGCAGAGCAGGTGGTGGGGTGGGGGCAGGGCAGGGGAAGGATTACAGCACTTCGGGGACAGGCCGCGTCCCCTTAACTGAAGCTGTTAATTAGGAAGCAGCAGCCCCTCCCCTGGGGCCTGGCTCACCCCATTAGCCTGCAGAGCAGCTGCCAAGACTGGCTCTGTCCCTCATCCTCCTCCTCCTCCTCCCCCACCCTCCCCCCGCTGCTCTGCCTGTGCACAGCTGACCGGGGCTGCCCTCTGCCGATCACCCGCCGTGGCTCCCCCCTCTTCTTGGGCTCTCACCAAAACCCCCCTCCTCACCAGCCTCCCCCCTCCCGCCACCCCCAGGCCCTGCCGCTCTGCCCTTCCCTGACTGTTTGCTGGCTCAGCCCTGTTCTTTATTTAGGCCTCCAGACGGGGCTGACACTTCCACCAGCAGGACCTCCGGGAGCCCAGCGCTGGGCCCATTTTCAGTGTTCTGAGGCCCCCCTGGGGGTGGGAGTGGGGTGGGGGATGGGCACTCACACGGGGTCCACACAGCCCTGGATGTCCGCCACCCACGAGTGCTTCTGCAGGGAGTCGATGGTCTCCAGGATGTACTCCGCTCCGTTCTCCACCTGGGGATGAGGTGGCCGGGTCCTGAGCACAGTCAGCGCCCAGCCTCCGGGGCCGGACGGCTCACCGCTCCCCACCCCCACAGCTCTCAGGCACCACCCCAAATGCAGGCCAGGGCCCCGGGCTGCAGCCCCTCCCTCCTGGACCAGTCCCAGGGGGTGGCATCCAGCCCCACTGCTCTCCCAGGGGACACACAGCCCCGGAGGAGGTGGGGGGCAGGGTGGGAAGTCCAGAAGCTGGGCCCGTGGCCCGGCAGCCGGTGGTGGGGTTCGAGCCAAGCAGGGAGGTGGACGGGCCAGCCCTGGGCTGATGGCTCACCTGCTTCAGGGCCTGGAACTCTACCACTGTGGCCACATCCCTGCTGAGGCCAGCCGATCCTGCTCATCGGCTCGCTCTCTTTTTTTAAGGGTTTATATATATATGTATATATATATATATATATTTTTTTTTTGACAGGCAGAGTGGACAGTGAGAGAGAAAGACAGAGAGAAAGGTCTTCCTTTGCCGTTGGTTCACCCTCCAATGGCTGCTGCGGCTGGCACACTGTGCTGATCCTAAGGCAGGAGCCAGGTGCTTCTCCTGGTCTCCCATGTGGGTGCAGGGCCCAAGCACTTGGGCCATCCTCCACTGCACTCCCTGGCCATAGCAGAGAGCTGGCCTGGAAGAGGAGCAACCGGGACAGAATCCGATGCCCCAACCGGGACTAGAACCCGGTGTGCCGGTGCCGCAGGCGGAGGATTAGCCTAGTGAGCCTCGGTGCCAGCCTCTCTCTCACTCTTAAGATCGATTTGTTTGAAAGAGTTATGGAGAGAGGGTTCCCTCCCCAGATGGCTGCGATGTGCCAAGGCTGGGCCAGGCTGAGGCCGGGACCCAGGAGCTTCTTCTGGGTCACCCGTGTGGGTGCAGGGGCCCAAGGACTTGGGCCATCTTCTACTGCTTTCCCAGGCCATAGCAGAGGGCTGGATTGGAAGTGGAGCAGCCGGGACTCGAACTGGTGCCCATATGGGATGCCGGCACTGCAGGCAGTGGCCTTATCCACTAGGCCATAGCACTGGCACCTTTGCTCGTCATCCGAGCTCCTCCCAACAGCCCCATAAGAGAGGTGATTCACGGTCTCCGTTGCAGAGAACAAGATGGAGGTTCAGAGACCTGGGCTGCGAGCTGTGTTCTTGGCCACCTTCAAGCGCCCCTGTCACAGCACAGTCACTGGGGACAGTGCCTGGCCCAGCTCCTAAGGTGCCAACCACATACCTAAGACCCCCACCTGAGTGCAGGGTTTACTCCTGACTCCGGCTCCTGACCCCAGCTTCCTGCTAACTGCCCGGGGGACAGCAGTGAGGCTCAGTAGCTGGGTTCCTGCCACCCACGCCGGAGACCTGGACGGAGCTCCCAGCTCCTGGCTGCAGCCCTGGCCCAGTCGTGGCTGCCACAGGCTTTGGGGAATGAACCAGAGCGTGGGACATCTCTCCTTCTCTGTCTCAGTAAAGCGAAACTGGGTCCCAGTGTGGGGCTGGCAGGCAAGCTCCGGTGGCCCCTGGGCTCTGAGTGCAGTCAGCAGCAGGGGCCCACCAGGTGGGCAGGGGCTGTGTCCCCAGTGCCAGGCCCGGGGTGACTCGGGGGTTGAGGTTGGCATATGTTTGCGAGATGAGTGAGTTTGTGACCGAACACTCAGGGACGGGCACAGACAGAAACCCAGCCAGGAGCTTGGAGAGCAGGGTGGGGGCCGCGTGCAGTGTAGAGTGGGCGGGCCCAGGCCTCCCAAGGGACGGCGGCTCATAAACACCCTCTGAATCATCCCAGGAGGCACAGGGACTGGCACAGCTCCGGCAGCCAGGGAGCTGTGCCCTCTGCATCCCCAGCACGGGCCGGCCCAGGGCTGTCCCCAGACTCCTGGAGAGGGGTGTGTGTGCCTCCCCCCACCCACCCAGCCTCTGTGTCCTCAGGGGGCGGGGCTGGTTCCCACACTCCAGTGCGCTGCCTGCGGGGGTATTTGCATAACTGCTGCCAGCCGGCCACCAGCTCCTGCCCCTGCCCGTGGGAGGGTTGGCTCCAGTGGGGGAAGTGAAACCCTGGTGAGCTTCGCCCAGCCCCAGCAGGAAATGGGCACATGGGCCCAGATGGCAGGCAGTGCCTGAGGCCCCTGGCTCGAGTCCTAGCCGTGCGCCAGACATATGCCCTGGAGTCCTGGTACCCCACCCCGACCCCCTGCTGCCTGCTGTGGGCTCTGGGGCCTGGCCTTGCCCCCCGCCCTGCCCCGCGGTGACCTCACGGGCCCCTGGCCGCCAGGGCCAGCTCACCTTGAGCACAAACGTGTTGTCCTTTTCTGGCATCTCCAGGGGCATGGTGGTGCGGACCTCCAGGACGGCCGACAGGGGGATGCTGACCTTGGGCCTAGAGGCCTGGGGAGGGCGGCGGGAGGGGCCGTGAGAGGGCTGCCCCCCACCTCCCCCTTTCTCATCTCCCCACCCTCCCCAGCTCCCAGGTCGGAGCGGCCCTCGGCTGAGGGCTTGGGGTGCTGCGATCCCCACTTCCCAGATGGGGACGTTGAGGGAGGACTCGCTGAGCAACCAAGGGCCCCCTTCCAACAGCCGCACAGCAAGTCCAAGACAGAGCGGGGACTCACACATGAGTGTCGCAGCCCTGAGCCCGGAGCGGGCGGCCCCCGCCAGGCTGCCCCCACATCTGTGGTTGTCACAGTTCGGGCCTTGACCGATCACCCGAATACACGTGGCACTGTGGCCCAGTGCGCATGCCCGAAGCAAGCATCCCACCTGCCAACAGGGACCCCCACCACATTCCGTTCTCCCCCGGGGTCCGTTACCAAAATAAACGAATGAATAAATAAAACGAGGAGACTTTCAGGAACAAGGCAGGGCTTTGTCTCCAGGAACGGTCAGAGGGACCAGTGTTCCCCAGCCGGCTGCGGTTTTCACCGAGGTGAGCTGGCCGCTCTGCCCCCACGCCCCTGGCTGAGCCTCCGAGGGCCCCCGGGGCTGGGCTCGGGCTCCAGGACAGGGGCTTTCCAAGGAGGAAGGGGCAGGGCCACACGCGGACAGGAATTCCATCGCCCCGCAGGCCCAGGGCCTGGTGACTGGGGGGCCTGCGGACGGGTGGAGGCGGCCCCTCTGCTGGCACAACCCATGCTTCCAGAGTGCACACCCTCAGGTGGACACTGAGGCCGCCTGGCTCCTGCTTGTGGGGGCCCAGCGCTCGCCCCCCCCTGCACATTTGCACCCTGATGTGCAATGGCTTGTGACGGCTCTCCAGGAGCAGGGCTGGCCTCGCACTGTGGGCGGGGGCAGGAAGCCTGCAGACGCCAAGCCCCCGACGGCTCCAAAGGCTGTAGCTGCAAAGAGCGAGGGCAGATCTGGGCAGTGGGCGGGCACACAGGCCGTGGGGGATGTTGGGGTCCTGGGGGAGGACACGTTTGGAAATCCCAACCTGAGCCCTTACTGTGTCCTGTGGTTTCCCAGGCGTTCCTGTGCAACAGGCTCTGGCCCCCTTAAGAGGTGGGGCCTAGCCCAAGGTGGGCGGGTCCCGGGGAGGGAGGCGCTGTCCCAGGAAGGGATTTTCGAAGTCCTCCTGGGACCCTGCTTCTTGCAGGGCCAGGCCACCCCCTCTGCCATCTTGTGACAGCCCAGAGCCTCAGCCTCTGCCCGAAGTTCAGCCTCTACATAAACCTCTTCGCTCTGCACAATCCCCGGCGGCCGAAGTTTTCCAACAGTAACAGAGGACGAGTGGGAGATCACGCACGCCCCACTCCTGAATACCCCCACTTGCAAAGGAGGGCCTGAAGTCAGACCACATGCCTTCCCTAGGGGGCCCAGGACCCCCGCAGCACGGAAGAGGGTGGAGCCGGCACCAGCTGCTGCACTATTTCCAGACGGGCAGCTGCGGCTGCCACTCACTGCTGGGGGTGGGAGGCCCCCCTGGGCCTCTGCCCTTGCCCTTTGGGTGACCCCGCTAAGCCCCACCCCTCACTGGGCCTCAGTCTCCCTGTTTGCCAGGAGTGGAGCTGAGCTGAGCGGTGGATTTCGCTCAGGGACCCGAGAGAGCGCCTGGCCCAGAGCCATGGGGACAGGGAGGGGGAAGGCTGGGGGTCCTGGGACTGGGGAGATGGCTCTTTAGGGACCCAGTGCTGGGACGCCACCTCTCCGGGAGCGATGCCGGGGTGGGGGCACCCAGAGTTGCTCCAACATGCGGAGAGGTGCAGACAGCCCTGGGAGTGAGGGGGCGGAATCCCGACTCCATGCTCCTTTCTGGGGACCACGGTGGGGGGGGGTCTCTGCCATCTGGGCGGCTTGGGGACCCCGCGCCCACCTTGCTGGGATACACAGGGGCTCTCAGAAAGCAGGCACCTCCGGGGGCACTCACGCCCACTTTCCAAACCCCAGAGGAGACCCAAAGCTGTCTCCGCCCCCAAGAGGCGAGCAGGTCAGGGCCTGGTCAGGGCCAGAAAGCTCACTCAGGTGGGCGCTGGGTACGGCCGCACGGAGGCAGACACCCCTCCTGGCGTGCGGCGAGAACAGAGCAGCGCTGGGAATGCCGCACTGCGCAGCCAGCGTCTCCTTCCGCATCACGCACCGAGAAATGGCAGGTACCGGACATCAGGGCCTGTGGGTCAGACGGGGCCCTGGCACCGCCCCAGCTCCGGCTGCACTCACCTTGGGCGGCACGAAGAACTCGAGGCGGAAGCGCTCGCCGGCCACGGCCCTACGCAGCAGCAGGCGGCACTTCTGCCACTGGCCAGCGCCGCCGGGGCCCGCGGCCGCGTCGTCGGCCACCATGAAGCGCAGCGCGCCCTCGCGCTGAATGTCCACCAGCTCTACCTTGGCCGCCAGCGTCCGCGACAGCCGCAGGCGCCGCGTCCACTTGTCGCGCGGCTCGGCCTGGGGCTCGGCAGCGGCGCGCGGGGTGGCGTCCGGTTCCGGCGACGCGCGCCGGTGCCACATGTCGCGCACGCCGTCCACCACACATAGGCTCATGTTGCGCAGCGAGAAGCCCTTGCGGACGCGCGCCTTGGCCGCCGCGTGCGTCGAGACGTCCTCGGAGCTGCGCGAGTGGCCGTGAGCGGCCGCCTTGATGGCCGGGGTCCCCGCCGGCCCTGGCTCCATGGCGGCGGTGCGCTCAGCCGTGCCCCGCGCTGCCGGCCCGGCCACCAGCACACGGCGCACCTCCTCGCCGAAGGCGTCCAGGAAGTTGGCGGCGAAGTGGCGGGAGAAGGAGGCGCCGGCGTCGGGCGTGTCGTAGGCCGGGTGCTCCTGCAGGAAGCGGCAGAACTTGTGCGCGAAGTCCACGGCGGCCACCTGGGCGTGCAGCTCGCAGAACTCCCGCCAGTCCGGGACCGGAGCCGGGCCGGGGCCGGCGCCATTCATGGCTCCCGTCCCATCGCAGCCCCCTGCGGCTGCGGGCGAGAAGAGGGCCAGGGTGACTTGCGTGTCCGCTGACCTGCCCCGTGTGTGCACTGGGGGGCCGTGGCAGGCCGCCCCTTGGAGCAGGGCCCGCGTACGAAGCCAAGGGCAGATGGGGAGGCGGGAGGCCGGCCCCTGCACTCCTCAACCTCTCCCCCAAACAGCGGTTGGGGGGCGGGGTCGTTTCTGGGCAGGGAATACAGATGTCAAGAGGGGTCCCCATGCACCTCCAGTGACCCCTCCTGAGGGCCCCAAGGCAAGGTGGGCAGGTCACATGCTAGAACCCATGCCCAGCCCTCTCCCCCAGTCCAGGCCGGCGTCCTGCAGCCGTAGCTCTCGTGCTGTCCGAAGCCACTTGGGCAGCAGCTTCCAAGGTCCCTCGGGGCCCTAACACCATCCACCTGCGCCTCAGGAGACGTCATCATGCCCAAAACGAGGCACATGGGTTCCACCTCCGCTCAGACGCCTGCAGGAGCTCCCATTACACTCAGCGAAAGACCAAGGCGCGCCACACTCTCTCTCTCTCTACCTCTCTGGACTTACCGCTGTCCCTCAACTGAACCTGCCCCCTGGCCATTGCACACACACGTGAGACCCAGTCTTTCCAGCCCTGGAAAGCCTCTCCCCCTCCCTCACCTCTTTTAGATTTCTGCTCAATTATCATCGAGTGCCATAGCCTTCCCCAACGGCTCCACCAAGCCCCCTGCTCCGTCTGCGGCTGCTGTCCCCTCTGTCCCCTCCTCCACCCGACACACCTACCCACATCGTCTCCACCTCCTTCCTTTTGGCAATGCAGGGACTGCCCCAGTCCTGTAGGCCTCGGTATCCCAGGGCTGGACACACGGCAGGCGCTCAGCAAACCACGGACCGAATGATGCGTCCGGCACACCTGGCGTGCTGCGGCTGTCAGCACCGGAGCCCACCCACCAGGCCCGAGGACGCACTGCTTGGTGTCGCGTGACAAGCTGGGACCAGGGCTTTCACCAGGGTCTGGGTGACTCTGGGCCTCGGTCTACCACCTCCCCACTTCCACTCCTGTTCCCACCTTTAGGAGGAGTTCCCGTCCCGAGCCCGCCGTCTGGTAGCAGTCCCGGTGCAGGATCCCAGCCGGCACCACTGCGACCCCTACCACCTGGGGGCCTTGTCTGCTGTGAGCATGTGGCCCCTCCAGGCCAGGGTGCAGAGGACCCAAGGAGGGAAAGTGGGGGTGTGTGTGACGTGGCCCCGCCCTGCGGAGCCCTCCCCTGCCCTCCCAGGAGCCACCGGTTTCCCGGAATGCCCCGCCCTGCCAGCTCCTGGGATCCAAACCCTGTAATTAAACGCCAGGTAAAAATAGCTGCCCCACTTCGGTGAGATCCTGGCGGGGGCCTCTGGGCCGGAGGGCACCATGGGGATTCCCCCTGTCCTCAGGCAGCCCCAGGAGGTGGGGGGGGGGAGACGGGTGGTGGGGCAGGAGGGTAGCAGGGAGCCAGGCAGGCTTCCTCCTGGAGGTGCGGCTTGCACAAGGGAACGAAGGCGCTGCGGGTCTGAGTACTGGCCGGGGAGCAGGACTTAGCAGGACATTGGGAGCTGGTGGCTGTGTTCAGAGCCCATGGAGGCGGGGGCACCCTGGCCTGTCTTCCTTCCCTCTCCTCCTGCTTTCTGCACCTGGCTAACTCCATCCACCCTTCGATAATTTATCTGGGGGCCGGCGCTGTGGCGCAGCAGGTAAAGCTGCCACACGCAGTGCCGGCACCCCCTACAGGCTCAGGTTCAAATCCCGGATGCTCCACTTCCCATCCAGCTCCCTGCTAATGCACCTGGGAAAGCAGTAGAAGATGGCCCAAGTGCTGGGGCCCCTGCACCCACGTCGGAGACCCAGAAGCTCCTGACTAGTCCAGCTCCAGCTGTTGCGGCCATTTGGGGACTGAACCAGCAGATGGAAGACCTCTCTCTCTGCCTCTTTTTAACTCTGCCTTTCAAATAAATATATCTTTAAAAAAATAAAATAAAAATGAAAAAAGCTTATCTGGGGGTTGTTTCTTGCAGGAAGCCTTCCCTATGACCCTCCCTGCCCCCAACCAGGCTGGCCCAAGGGTCTCCTCTGAGCGCGCACCTGTCTGTCTCACTAGAAAACTTGGCGCTTCCGGGTGCCCCTGGATCCTGCTTCCATGCACGCCTCTCCGGCTGGCAGGGGCTCTCCTTGAGGGCTGGGGCGGGCCTGAGTCACATCCCAAGCGGTGGCATTTGCTTTTCCCCCGGGGGTGGACGTGGGCACACACCTGCCACCACTGCGGCCACCACCATGGCCTCCAGGGACAGTGGAAAGAGCAGGCTGAGGCTGAGGCCGGGGCTGACCTGGGGTGGGGGGTAGGGGAGGGTGAGGTAGAAGTTTCCTAGGCTGGGGCTGCGGCTCAACCCACGGCGCGCCACGTTCACCCAGCGGCCCGTGCACCCCTGTACCACTGGGACCACGGGCAGGGCCCCATGCTGACCACTCCCCCAGCCTCTGAGCCTCACTTCAAACTCACGATCGGTTAAGCTAAGTCGGGGCTCTGCTCACTCCCAGCTCCCTGCCAGAGCACACCCTCGGAGGCAGCGGTGGACGGCTTGGGTGCTTGGGCCCTGGCCACCGGTGAGGGAGTCAGAGAGGAGCTCCGGGCTCCTGGGTTTGCGGTGGCCCAGCCCTGCCTGTTGTGGGCATTTGTGGAGTGAACCAGTGGACACGGGATGGACGCCTCTGTCTCTCCGTCCTTCCCAATAAAGAAAGGAACCAGGGGCCAGCACTCTCCGCCATTCCAGCCCACGGGCAGCATGGCCAGGGCCAGCGTGACCTCTGTCATTTGCAGGTCACCCCTGACTCAGATGTGGGTCAAGGAGGGGCCCTGCCTGGGGTGGTGAAAGGAGCGGTACCAGGTACCTCGCAGCTGCCCCCACGTCTGGGCTGGGCTGGGGATTTCTCTCCCAGGGAACGCTGGCCTTCTGGTCTCTGCCAGCACTGCCTTCCTCTCCCTTCTCCCCCTCCCCCTCTCCCACCCGCCCCCTTCCGGGACCCCCCCCCACGGCCCTGCAGCTGAAGGCTGGGGCTGACTGTCACCTATGAGGAGCAGGGCCGCCAGCCCGGATGCATCACCTGGGTTTTTCAGGCTCAGCTGGGCACTCTGGCTTTTCCCCCAGGGAAAACTGTGCGGTTTTTTTTTTGTTTTTGTTTCCATCTCCACTGGGATGGGGCTTTGGAGGGGCGGGGCAGGGGGCGGAGGGAGCCCGGTTGAGGCCCCTTGCGCGGGGCCACCACCTCTCCTGACCCCCGCCCTCTGCTCAGCCAGACCCGCCAGTCCAGACTTGGGCTGGGGGGAAGGGGGCGGCCGGCTTTCCGGCGGTAAAAATAGCGCTGACAATTGGAAAATGAAGAAAAAAAAACCAGCCGGTTCTCAGCCCCCGCCGGCGAGCAGTTCCGGACCCCAGGGCCCGGCCGTTCCTTAAAATATTGATGAGGCCGCCCGGCCGCCCCCGCTAATGGGCCGGTGGCCAATCGATGCACGCGCGGGGGGCGGGGCCGGCTGCAGGGAAGACCCCACCCAGTACCCGCCCCGCCCCGCTCCGGAGCCCCCTGGCCTGTGTCCTCGCTGCACTGCACACAGACAACCCAGCAGGCAGACAACCCAGGGCGGGAAGGGGCAGAGGCTCAGGGCCTGAGGGGGGCTCTGGTCTGGAACTAATCACGGCGGGGAACTGAGGCCCCCCCAAGGCCCCCCCCTGCCCCCGGCCTCGCCCCAACACAGGAGCCACAACCTGGCTCTACTGAGACCCCTGGTCCTCCGTGCCTCTCCAGGCCTGGCCCTTGACTGAGAAGCCTCCTGGCTCCTTGTTCTTGCTGCAGCCCCTGGCCCCCTGCCTCAGCGGGGCCCGCACAGGGATGACACCCCTCACCTCCCCAGAGGTGGTCCCCCCAACCCGGGGCAGGCCCTGCACCAGGGCTTCGGCCAGAGGGACGATACGGCTGGATTCTTTCCCACTCAGGGCATCTCCACTCGCCCCGTGCCCCTGGCAGAAGTGGGTGTGAGTGGGGCCCTTCTGTGGAGCCCCCTGGCTCTGGGGTGGGCAGGTTCTGAGCCGTGGCCACCCCCACCTCCCCCACCCCTGCAGCCTGACCATCTCCCCAGGGCCACTTGTGGTCGTGGGGACAGCAGAAGGGTTAAAAGCCTGGGGTTTGGAGCCGGGCTGTCTGGCCCTGAATCCCAGCTTGCCTGCTTCCTTGCTGAGTGACACGCCCCCCTCCGTGCGTGGCCCCCTGGGGCCTGGGTTTCCTCCCTCGTTCAAGGGGAGGGTGAGAGCAGACGGAGTTTGTTTAAAACTCAAAGCTGCTTCTACTTCCTAAATATCTCGCATCCGTTCCCACTTCCTCCCACCGCTCCTCCCGGCACCCGCCAGCCACCCCCCCACCCCCCACCACCAGCGGCCAAGGTGAGCTTTCTAGAATCCACATCGGATTGGGCCATGCCTCTCATCAGAGAGGACTCCCTGGCGCCCAGGGAGAGAGTCTAGCATCCCACACGCACTGGGCCCCGTTGTGTCACGCACGCATGGTGCAGGCAGCTCCAGGGCTATAGCAAGACTGGGGAGTCCCAGGTCCGTCCTGCCCTCGGGCAGGCGCCACTCCCTACAGGGACTGATTCCTGGGGAGTGGCCCCTGGGAGGGCGCAGCAGGAGCCCTGGTGCCTGCTTCTGGGAGGAATATGCCCACTTGTACCCACAGGGGCACTCTGAGAGGCGGGGTGCAGGAGCAGGGGCACCCAGAGCGGGGCACTGCAGGAAGCAGAGGTCAAGCGAGCAGGAAGTGGGGGCCCCGACACAGCTAAGCCAGGGCCCACTGTCCTGCACCTGCCGCTGGACAGTTCCTGGTCTCTGCAGGTGGACAGCAGGCCAGGCTTGCTCTGGCTGCCCTGAGCCAGCTGTCGCCTACTTCGTCCTGCCCTCCTGGGGTCACACAGCAGAGGTGCCCCCTGTCCAGCCTTGGCCTGAGCCTTGCAGCCTCCTCCCCTCTCCCCCCTGTGAAGGGCCTCGTCTCGGCACCCCCTCTGTCTCCCCGGCTTTTTTCCTGACATGCATGTATCAGAGCCTCCTGAGACCCCAGAGCTGTGGACGCTGCAGGTGTCTGCTAAGTAAGCGTCCCCGCGCCGTCCTCCGAGTGCCCAGCCTGGCCCCCCCTCCAGGGACCTCAACTCAGCACTTCCAAGTTCAAGTCCATCCTCATCCTGCCACGCCCACTGTCAGCACTCACCCTGGCACTGCCCCGCCTACTCCCACTCCTCTGCACCAATAGCCAGCAGCCCCCCCCACTCACACCCCCTGCCTGTCCACAACACAGCAAGGCTTGTCACGCCTGCCACCAGAGAGAACGAAACCCAAGCCCTGCTTCCCCCGGCGGAGCCAAGCGAGGCCGCCACACTCCCACGCAGCCGTGCCCGGCTCACTCTGCCCCGACAGGTGTGGGCTGTGACCTCGACCTGAGGTCACACCTGCTGTCCCCTGGGGAAAGGTCACAGCCATAAAAACGACCCAACCACGTGAGGGGGGGAAGAGAAACCTCCCCGGGCCCCAGAGCTGCGGCTGCTCCTTTGGCCCTCTGTGGACGGTGACAACTGGGTGGGGACGCGGGCGCCAAGGCTGGACCAGAACCCCATGGGGACGGCGGTCAGGAGGCCGGATGCAGGCAACCTGTGGCCCCTACACCCTGGCAGGAGGTGAGGCCCAGGCGCCTGTCACACAGGCGTGGTCTGCAGGCCCGGATTGCCGGCTGAGTGACTGTGGGCGAGTCATTCCACCTCCCCGAATTTGCTTGCCGCTCTGTAACATGGGGGTAATAATAGAACCAAGGCAGGCGTTGGGCCCTGAGTTAAGTCCCCCTCGCCCCACAGGGGAGGGCCTGGGCTGCAGGCCCGGCTCTGACTCCCGCTCCAGGTTCCTGCTGACCCAGGCCCCGGGAGGCCGTGGTGATGCCTCCAACAGTTGGGTCCCTGCACCCACTTGGGAGACCGGGATTCAGTTACTGGCTCCATTGAGGGAGGGCTCCCTCACTTTGTCTCTCCCCCAGTGCCCCTCAAATAAGCTAATTAAAAAAAAAATAGTACCCAGGGCCGGCGTCGTGGTGTATCTGGTAAAGCCACCACCTGAGACACTGGCATCCCCTATGGGTGACAGTTCGGGTACCGCCTGCTCCATTTCCGATCCAGCCCCCTGCTAATGCCCCTGGGATGCATCCCAAGTGAGGGGTGGCCCAGGTGCTTGGGGCCCTGCACCCACGTGGGAGACCTGGATGAGGTGCCTGGCTCCTGTGGGCATTTTGGGAGTGAACCAGTGGATGGAAGATCTCCCTCTCTCTCTGTCTCTCCCTCTCTCTCTATAGCTCTGCCTTTCAAATACATCTTAAAAATAGTACCCAACCCACAGGATTAGGACTGCACTGACGCCCTTAACCTGGCCCAGTCACTCAAAACCGGAAGCTTGGGGCCAGCACGGCGCAGTATCGTAAGCTGCCAACCGGGACGCGGGCATTGCGCCAGAGCGCCGGGTCCCAGTCCCGGCTGCTCCGCCTCCAGTCCAGCGCCCTGCTATGTGCCTGGGAAGGCAGTAGAAGATGGCCCAGGTACTTGGGTCCCCGTCAATGGATGGAGCTCCTGGCTCTGGCCTGGCCCAGACCTGGCCGTTGCAGCCATGTAGGGAGTGAGCCAGCAGGTGGAAGATCTCCCTCCCTCTCTATCACTCTTTCATTATAAATAAGTAAATTCAGGAAGGAAGGAAGGAAGGAAGGAAGGGAACAAATTGCAACTATCAGCCCTGGAAGGCCCAGGCTCCATCTGGGTGGAGCACACACTGCCCACTCCCCAGGGCGAAGCCCCCAGCTCCGGGGGTGCGTGTTTGGGAGTCTTCCCTAGGAAACCCACATGATGGAGGACGAGGGGTTTAGAAACTTGAACCCTTGGCTACCTAGCACCGTTCAACCCAGGAAGCCCTGGCCAATCCCCGCCCACCCCTGCCAGGGGATGGAGGACCCCTGCCCCATGGTGGGGACCAGAGTAGAAGGGAGCAGCTGGCGGGGAGACTGCCTCAGAGACCCCCATGAATGCTGCCACCCCAGCCTAATTAGCAAAGCTGGCTTCCCCCAGACCACTCCCCATCGAGACCCCTCCCCACATTCCCGGAGGGGCGGGGTTCCAGCCCTGTAGCTTTCTGCTCTCTGGTCGGAGCAGGAAGACCAGGAGGGCGGGGATCTATTGAAGGCAGCCCAAGCCTCTTAGGGAGTCTGGTCCCCCCACCCCAACAAGTGCCCACTCACCCCATACTCCCGGGCCTGCGCTGGAGCCGACCCTCTTCCAGGTCTTAACCGGCAGGCAGACAGCACCGCCCGCTTTTGCCAGGGAGTCTAGTGTTGGCCCAGGCACAGAGGCCGGGTTCAGCCCAGGTCTGTGCCCACCCTGAGGTTCTGTCTGCACCAGCTCGCTGGGAATGTGGATTCTGGCTTATTTGCGTTCACGGTCCCCGGGCCGCCCTGCCTGGCTCCAGAGAGGCCCCGGTCACTGCCGTCTTCTCTCCCCGAAGTCGGGGGTTGCTGGGAGCACGGCGCATCCCTGCCTGGGTCTGGGCTCGGCCCGGTGAGCAGGCGCGGTTCTGGCCCGCGCTGCCTGCAGGTTCCTCAATGGCCGAGGCCCGGGGGCCTGAATGGAGCGCACGAGCCCGCCCCTTCTTAAAGGCGCCGGCCTCCCGGGCACCCTCGGCCACCCTCCCCGCCAACTGGGGCTGCCGAGGAGCGCCTAGGGTGGGCGGGCCGCGGGTGGTGACCGTGAGAAAGGGGGCCTGGGCCGAGCGGAGGGCGTGCCGGGCCCAGAGACTGTGGCCTGGATGGGGACCCTCCCAACGCCAAGCCGTGGCCCTCACCTCAGTCTGGGTTGACCCTCCCCTCTCTCCCAACCCAGGGCAGAGACCCAGGCGCCCCCTCCCCCCGAGCCAAACCCCCCCACCTCCGCCCACCGCCCAGCCTGGGCCCTTGGAGGGGGCGGGGGCGCAGCTGCTCCGCAGGCGGCTCGGGGGTCGCAGAGCCGATCCCACCCCGGGCGCATCCCCTCCGTCGCGCGCCCTTCTCCGCCCCCCCCCCCGACACCCGCGCACACAAAGACGCCACGCGCGGACAGGGGCTCGTGCCGCCGCGCTCCCCGGAGCAGCCGTGCGCACACGCGCGCACGCCCTCGGGACCAGTCTGGGGGCCGGGGACACGCAGGCCGTACCTACAGGCGCGCAGCGGTGGCCGCGCGGGCCGGGGCGCCGGTGGAGCGCTGCCCGGACCGCGGCCGGGCTCCTGGGGCCCGGCGGCTCATGGCCCGTGGCCGGGCTGGGCTCCCTCCCGGCGGGAGCTGGCTGCGGCGGCGGCGGCGGCGGCGGCGGCTCCTCCTCCCTGGTCCACAACCTCGAAGGCTCGTGCGCCGCTCGCGGCCCCCGCGCGGTTCTCCCGGAGGCCGAGCCCCGCGCGCTCTGAACCCAGCCCCGCGCCCCCCCGCCCGCAGGCGCGCGCGCCGGCCCCGCCCCCGCCGCGCGCTCCGCCCCGCGCCGCGCCGGCCCCGCCCCCGCCGCGCCCCCCGCCCTCCGCCGAGCCGGAGCTGCGCCCGCGGAGGGCGCTCGCTCCTTCCCGGCGGTGGCGAAGCCGATACCGCCCAGCCTTAGGGCCCTTAGGGCCTGGGAGCTGGGCCGGAGCAGCGGGAGGCTGGGGTCGCCGTGTCGCGGGGCGGATCCCAGACCCGGCGCCAGATTGCTCCCCCGCGCGGCGTGGTCCCCTAGACCCTTTGGTGGTGTCCGGTGTTGGAGGAGGGGTGGACGCCCTCGCAGCGCCCCTCGATGGCTGGCGACTGCCGCGGTAGCCAGACGGGGACAATGGGAGTCAGCCGGAGGCCCTAATGTCGCAACCGGGGAAGCCGACGTCTGGTTTTGATAAATCCCCCTGTCTCCAGCCCGGGGGCCAGCAGGGCAGGAACGACCTCCAGACACGTCTCCCACTCCCTTTCCACCCCCCACCCCCGTGATGGGGCCGCTGGCGTCCCCGGGAGAGGTGGCAGCGGTCACACGCGGCGATGGGGACCTCAGCCCTGGCTTCCCCGTCCCTGCCTGGCTCCAGGGCTGCTGCTGGGTTAGGGCAGAGGCGAGGCCGGCCGACCTCGGAGGGGTCCCAGAGGGCTGGCCGAGGTGTGGAAGGAGGGATCCTTGGGGAGAGCCCAGGGGAGCCCCGGCAGCCTATCTAACAGGTGGCTGGGTCAGCTTCTCCCCGCCCCCACTCGGGGTCCTTCTGTGGTCAGCTGGGGGTGCCTGTCCATCTGTTGCCCTCCCCCACTCAGAGTGACCTCTGACCTTTGTAGCCCGCCTTTTAACCCTTCCCAAAACCATCTCGCATCTCTAATTTCCCAGGAAATAGGACAGACAAGGGCCTTCCAAGGGTCTTGGTTCCCCATTGTAAGGATGGGAAGGGGGAGCCCTGGACATGGAGCCTTTGCCTGCTGCCCCCAGCCCTGGTGCTGAAGCTGGGCGGGCATTGACCGAGGCCCTGGCCCCCGGCCCCTTCTCTGCGGCACCTGCTCCAGCTACCTCTGGGCAGGACCTGCCCTGCCAGCGAACACTTAATGAAAGCTTCGGCCGTGGTCCAGCCATTGATCAGAGCGCATAGAGGCCTGGCTGGGAACCAAGACACCTATGAATGAGGCCAGGAGGCGGAGGGTAGGGGTGGGGGCCTCGACTGTGTGCGGAATGGGTGGGAGGGAGGGAGGCTTCCCCTCTGGTGGCCTGGCTGTGGACACCACCTTCCTGGGAGAGGAGACAGCCTGGCCTGTGGGGCCCTGACCTGGTGCGGGGCGGTGGGCGGAGTGTGCAGGGAGGTCCCCGGACGGGTTGTCCTGGATGGGACAGCAACTCTGGGCCGAGAGGAGGAGGAAGTGAGCCCCAGTGTCCGCCCCACAAGGAGGAACTCACGGGACGGGGCATGGAAGTGAGGGGTCGTGTGAGGGGCATGACTGGCGCAGAGCAGCTGGCCTGAGGGTCAAGGGGGGGACACTGACCCTGGGACCCCGAGGGCAGAGGGCTTTGGGTTTTGCGGGGGCAGATGATGAGGGGTGCTGGAGGTGGGACCCCAAAGAGAGGCCCCAGGGCACACAAGCTGTGAACTGTTCAGGGAGATACTGAGGCAGACATAGCAGGTGGGGGCTCTGGCCTGGGAGCTGGGTGTGGAGCCAGCCTCGTGGACACCTGGGCCACAGGAAGAAGGCAGGCTCCTCCCCTGGGTCTGAGGGGACCCCCGGAGTGGGGATGGGCTCCGGAAGCCCTGGCCCTGCGCCTCAAGGGAGTCCCCACACAAGGCTGGCCCACAGAGGGCAGAGGGGGCTGGCGGGCAGGGCTGGGGGTGGGGAAGGGGCCCGCCGAAGAGGAAGCAGCGCCCCCTAGGGGCTGCCAGGGACCCAGCCGATCACATCCTGGCCTGACCACAGCCGGGGAGCTGGTTTTAACTAAAAGACTTAACTAAAAGACTTTCCCCTCTTTAAAAAAATTTTTTTTTTCAGAGACAGACCAGATACAGAGAGAAAGAGAGAGAGAAAGAGAGATTGTCACATTCACTGGTTCACTCCCCAAATGCCTGGACTGGGCTGGGGTCAACGCCAGGAGCCAGGAACTCAGGAACCCGAGGTACAGCCGGGCATTGGAGCCAGGTGCTCCTACCTGGGGGACAGGCAGCCCGGCCCCCTGGGGCCAACACCCAGCCCAGACTTCCTGTTTCGATGCATTTGGGTTTTGGCAACCTTCTGGACGCACTTATGGAATCCTTGGGGGCCAGGGTGGGGGGTGGGGGAGATGCCCTGGGTGCAGGGCCATACCCACATCCACAGAGCGGCCCCCCAGGTGCAGCCCGAGCGGCAGGGGTGACGCCGTGGCCCGCAGCGGCCTCCCATGCCCCGCAGGGGTCAGATCACAGGGCGCGGTGTGGCTGCAACCGTGGTTTATTTCAAATGTGCAAAGCTGAACACGCGAATGCAAATCTAACTTAGGAAGCTATGTGGGGGGTGGGGTGGGGGTCCCAGCGCCCAGCAGGACGCCGGGCAGTCCTGGGCCCTGGAGAGCGGGGCATGTGGCCGAGGGGCCCGATCGGAGAGTCTTCCTCATCTAGAAACTAGAACATTTTACTATAGAAAAAAGCAGAAATCATCGTGTCTGGGGCGGGGGGTGGGGAGGAAGCAGGACCTGTCCAGCCCTCTGCCGGGGTGGGATGCGTGGGGTGAGCAGACCGAGACTCGTCTGTCTGTCTGTCTGTCTGTCCGGGGCGAGCTGGTGACAAAGGCAGGCTGGGGGTGGACGTGAAGCCTGCTGGCCTGGCAGCCCCGCCCACTGCTTTCCAGGAGAGGGGCTGTGAGGGAAGCCCCAGGAGGTGCCAGGGCCCAGAGGCAGCCGGGCGCAGGTAGCCCGAACTGGACTAACGGTGGCCGGGCCGGGTGGCGGCTCAGTTGGTGGCACAGCCAGGAGATCCCTGCCACCAGGGCTAGAGGTCGGGCTGTGGCTGGAGCCCTGGCCGGCTCCCCAGCCTGGGGAAGGGCCTGGGGGGCGGGGCTGGGGCCCTGCTGTGACTGACAGGTTCTTCCAAGGCCCTCCTCTCCGGAGGGACCTGGGACCTCTGGCAGCTCTGGGTTGAGGACCAGGGCAGTTGGGGGACTCTCTGGGGAAGCCTAAGTCATCCGTAGCCGCTGAGCGAGCAGGGGTAGGGGACGCAGCCATCGGTGTCGCGGGGCGAGGCCCCGGCTGTCACTGCCACAGGTCGCCAGCGGCCGCCCCGTGGTCGTTTTCATGGAACTTGTGCAGGTGGTCGGCGAACCTGGGGACAGGCAGACCTCTGCTGGGACGTGCCGGGTGCCGGGGGAGGAGGGCTGGAGGAGCTGGGGGGTTGCAGGGGGCTCTGGGGCGCGGGGCGGGGGCAGGGGGCATCCTCACTTCTTGGCGCAGGTGGCGGCACAGTCCCGCTCCACGCTCTCACTCCACGCCAGCTTGTAGAGTACCTGTCCAGAGGAGGGACACTGTCGGCTGCCTACCTCTGGCCCCAGGGCCAGACAGGTGTCCCAGCCCTGGGGTCAGAGGCGGAGCCTGGCCCAGCCTGGCGGGGGAGCGGCCCAGGCCGGGGAGGCCACAGTGACAGGGTCCCGGCTGCCCACCCACGTCGACACTCACCAGGAAGACTAGGCAGTGCAGGAAGAGTGTGTAGAAGAAGCCGATGGTGCGGGCCACCTTGTTGGAGAGAACCACGCGGCCCTGGGGAGGAAGCAAGGGGGCGCGTGGGGTACAGGGCGGGGCCTCGGGCTGCAGGAATTCTCAGGGGTGCCCCCCCTCCGCTGCACTGTTCCAGAATCTACCATGGATGGTGGGAGCAGAGCGGGAGTCCAGGACCCAGCCCGGGATCACGCAGCCCCACCTGGCAGGGCCTGGGGGGTGCCTGCTGCTCGGGGGGCGGGTATGCTGGGGGCTGGGGTGCCTGCAGCTCGGGTACACTGGAGGGCTGGGTGCCTGTGGCTCCGGGGGGCGCGGGTATGCTGGGGGCTGGGGTGCCTATGGCTGGAGGCGGGTAGACTGGAGGGCTGGGGTGCCTGTGGCTGGGGGGTGGCGGGTACACTGGGGGCTGGGGTGCCTGCGGCTGGGGGGGCGGGTATGCTGGGGGCTGGGGTGCCTGCTGCTCGGGGGGGCAGGGCGGGTACGCTGGGGGCTAGGGTGCCTGTGGCTGGGGGGGCGGGTACACTGGGGGCTGGGGGGCGGGTATACGGGGGGGGGGGGCGGGTACGCTGGGGCACTCACCATGCTGAGCGTGGCCTTGTCCCAAGGGCTGAGACTCAGGTACTTCCTCTGTCGCTCCTGAATGAGGGCGACAGTGACGAAGGGCCCTGGGGTGGGTGTGGGGGT